CACGTAAAATATGAAGTAAAAACAGCAAGCAAGACACCAGAATTGTTCACGCAGTTCGGAGCAAATTCTCCTACGTCTGCAAGGCCCACGTCCGTGTAATAGCCCTTCCACTAAATCACCGTAAGAATTACACAATCAATCACAACAGAACCTTCTAATGTATTGATTTGTCTACTTACGAATGACTTGACGACAAACTCGGTTTGCGTCTATCTCCACGGCTTGTTACACCTTCTCAAAGATCTTCTTCAAGGACGTAGATTCCAATACACCTTCAAATAAAGATTTTTCTTGATCTACAAAAATATGCAGGCTGTTCAGAAGCTCATAACACAAGATTGAACCGTTGAAATTCGATCTCCACCGTTCAGATTGAAGATCCACGAGTCCTTAGACTCCTCCAAAAATTTCAGCACGATCAGACAAGATTTGGTACTCCAACCATCGAGAAAACCAGGGCAGTATTTTCCGCAAAAAATCAGCAACGATGTGTAGATTGTAACTTTGATAACAGAAGATCCGTAACTCCAATTGACGTGAAATTTTAACACGTTGAAGCTCTATGTGTTGAGAACACCCTCTAAGAATTTCAGCAAAATCCAACGGTCGGATCTTTGGCGATGATCAAATCTGTGCGGCTGTCCAGAAACTTTTCACTGTCTAACTTTGCACCTTGTTTTTCTTTTTGGTCGAATTTGATTCTGGTTTTTGTAGTTTTTGCACGTCCAAAACCCTAAGGGAGGGTGAAGATATTAATAGAATATAATAGCCATGTTAGAGTGTGCTTAGGATTCTCAACCATGGCCTCCTCCTTATGAATTGTAAACCAAGTAGGATTAGAATCCAAGTAGGACTAGAATTCTCTTCACGCTCTTTCCTCTTCCTCTTCCTTCATATGCTAGGACTCTAAGTCTAAATAAAACATCTAAAATAATTCTAGATAAATCCATTCGTTTGTCAAAAAATAATGCCAACACAATATGGAACTAACATACCCTAGCGGGCCAAGATCCATATTTTACTTAACTATAGTTGTGCTTTGCATATTGCCCTATAGTCAAGTTATTTAGGTAGGAATTTATTCCAATTGCAATCATTATTACAACTCTTGGTTCGGTGGATTCTTTTAAATAAAATTCTTAATTGGCCAGATCCATATTTCATTTAACTATTGTTGTGCTTTGCATCTTGCCCTACAGTTAAATTATTTCTGGTAGGAATAAATTCCAATTGTAACAAGTTACAACTCTGGTTGGATGATCTGATTTTATTTATTGATCCTACTGCAGTGCCCTAAGTCTCTCATCCATATGACCAAGACTTAGTTAAGAATAACCCGGGGCGAGTTAGTACCCTAGTTACGGGTTTCACGCCTAACCAACGTAAACCGGGCGTCTCACTTGGGTGAGTCCGTTACCGATCTAAATTGGGTTTGACGAGTGACGTGGCGTCGGGGTGGCACAGACTTAAAATCATGAGGGATTTATTACGCAATATTGCCTATGGCATACACCGTGCGCATGCACTAGCGAAAATCACATACATGCATACATTCAATCATACATCACATGCATAATAAGTAAACGTGAAATGATTGTGGTTCCTAAAGAAAAAGAACCGACAGCGCATTGATCAAGAGATCTCTATCTCTGGCCCATCACGTCTTCTTTAGGATTCTCCATCGCAAACGGACTTCGTCTTCTTGTCTTCTTATAATTTTCGAGAGAAAAGAATATTGGGGTAAAGAAGAGAATTACATCTAGAATACAGAGATGAGGCACGACACGCAGGCCGTATTTAAAATTACAACAAATATAACTAAGCCACAATCATCCACCATGCAATAATACATACAGGCATCACATGCATCACATCATACATATTAAAGCATACACCAGGCGAACCGCGCTCGCCCCAGACCTAGTTTATTCTATTCTACGGAATAAACTATCAACAATAAATTAATTAAACTAGCAAGTAATTTAATTAAATATCATAAAATACTTTAAATTTCCAGAATGTTAGAAATTTAATTTTCTAAATTCCAGAAAATAAAATATTTTATATTTACCGTATATATGTATTTAAATTCAAAAAAGGGATTTTATTTCGAATTAAATACATATATGTTTTCTAAATTAGCAAATAATTATTGGAGACTCCCAGTAAACTTTATTAATCTGGAAATCCTAAAATTCCAGAATAAATAAAATTTAAAATTTTGAAAACCATTTTTCATAGCTAGAAAACCGAAATGATATTGTGAAAATATATTTCGAAATTCCAAAATTATCAAAATTTATTTTTCAAGTCCAAAATAAGTTCCAGAACCAGAATATGATTTTTCCAGAATTTAAAATATTCATTTTGCAATTTAAAATAATTAAAAATCGGACTAGTGAATAGTACTGATCCAATTACTTCAAAAATACAAAATAATTATTTTTACGTTCTTAAAAATTATGATAATTTTTACACAAGCTTAAAATCTCTGGTCTCAACTTATTATGAATTAAAATTAATTTTTGATCGTCAAAAATAATTTTTCCTATTTTCTATTCTATAAACGAATTTTAAAATAGAAAATTAGGAAACTAATTCCAAATATCGATTTTAAAATTTCTGAGTTATATTGACATGTCAAATACATCCCAGAAGATATAAAATCTAATTTTCATAAATATTAAGTGTTTATGGCACAAATAACAAGTATTCTACACATAAACTACTTAATAAGAATAATATAAAAATACCCTAAACAGTAATTCCGAAAATTACTAAATAAAATTATATTAGGTCCAGTATCCAAATATGGCCATCTAATTAAATTTTATAATGGGATAAAATTTTTGTCTCCAAAATTTATTGACTAATCTACAAAAACGATAACGGTAAAACTACTAAACTAGTAACTTCGGAAGCCGGCTCCGATACCACTGTTGGGAAACGAGGCTTGGATAACGCAGCGGAAAACAAAATTTAAAGTCCAAAACTCGATTCCACCCAAGAACAACTTACGTAAATTACTAGCTATAGTAAGAAATTTACCTTAACGGTGAAAACAGAGAACGGAGAAAACGGTCGGGGATTGTTTTGAGGAGATGAACGTAGCGCCAAACGTATGAAGCCTCCAACGTATCCACACGAACTTGCTCTGGAGTCATAGATTAAACTTGTGCTAGCAAGTTTAAAATAGGATAGTAAAAACTATAATAATACTACTTTGGGAGTAATAAATATATAGTAAAATATTTATCTTATAAATATTTCTTTATAATATTTTGTGTATATTTCTAACACTTTAGAAAAATAACTTTGAACACAAAATAGGATTTTTCTTCTCTCCTCCTTGTGATGGCCGAATAGTTGAGTGCAAAAATGGGGAGGGATACATCTTATTTATAAAACACTACTTGAAAAGAATTTCTAGGAAATTCATTAGGGACAAAAACAAATAAAGATTAGTGCAATGTCTCCAACCAACACAACAAGACAAATATGCTTTTGTTAATCAAATATTTGATTATATCAATCAAATATATTATTAGGTAGAAAATCAAATTGTGTCTTGTACATTCCCTTTGAAATTTCGGCCATCTCATATTAAAATGCATTACATTTTATTTTGACATCAAGAATTATCATATAATTAAAATGATGAAAAATAAAATAATATATATATATAAAATAAAATTTGTTTTGTCAAAATATAATTATCATATAATTAAAATGACAAAAACAAAATATAATTTTAAAATACATATGTATTTTGAAATATATATATATATATATATATACATATATATATATATATATATGTATATATATATGGGATTGACTCCAGTGAGATGACACCTTGTGGTAAGATGACATGCTTCAATGAGATGACACAACACACAACACTGCCAATGGAAAGCTCACCAACTGCCAATGCAAAGCTCACCAACTACCAATGCAAAGCTCACCAACTGTCAATGCAAAGCTCACCACTTTTTTTAAATAAAAAAAGTTAAAAAAATAGCACCACCACTCAACCACCACTCAACCACCACTCAACCACCGCTCAACCACCGGTCCACGGCAACAGTGGGGGTCATCGGTGGTGGCCATTGGTCATGGGCGGTCAAAGTGTAAAGCTCACCAACTATCAATGCAAAGCTCACCAACTGTCAATGGAAAGCTCACTAAGGAACAATGCAAAGCTCACCACTTTTTTTTAAAAAAAAAGCTAATAAAATTGCACCACCAGTCAACCACCGGTCCACGGCGGTAGTCTGCAGCGGTTGGAAGTCAGCACCACCGCCCTTTGTTTTTTTTTTGAAATCATTTTAAACTTTAAAGTGTGGTGAGCTTTGTGCACATATTCGGTGAGCTTTGCA